TAAAAAAAAAAAAAAAGAAAAGAAAGAAAAAGAAAAGAGAAAGAAGGAAGGAAGGAAGGAAACAAAAAGAAAGAAAGAAGGTCAGATTATATGAAATGTATATACCTCAGGTAGGAAATTTCAGAAACAGGAAAATACGGTAAATGTTGATTTGGGGGTGAGGGGCTGAAAATACATGCCTAGAGCTGCAAAAATGCAACATGATTAGCAGCAGTATCCCCAAAAGTGCAGTAGCTGGGACTTCCTGAAAGCAGTTATATTGGTTTTGTAGGGCTACAGTCAAAAGGTATGATGAGCTTGGCAGCTTAAAACAACAGAAATGTATAGTCTCACAGTTCTGGAGGCCAGGAGATCAAGGTGTTTGCAGAGCCATGCCTCCTCTGACTCCTCCCTGGCCTCTTTCTTGCTTCCAGTGGTTTCTGCAGCAATCTTTGGTGTTCTCAGGCTTGCAGCTGCATAACTCCAGTCTCAGCCTCGGGACGTTCTCCCTGTGTGTCTCCTCCTTCAAGTGGCTGCCCCTTATAATAACACCAGACATATCAGATTAGGGATGCAACTAAGACCTCATATTAACTAATTATATTTGCAGTGACTGTATTTTCCAAATAAGGTCACATTCAGAGGTATTGGAAGTTAGGACTTCCATATATCTTTTTAAAATAAATTAAATTAAAAATAATTGGTCAGGCATGGTAATACATGTCTATAGTACCAGCTACTCAGGAGGCTGAGGTGGGAGGGTCTTGATATGTTGCCCAGGCTGTTCTTGAACTCCTGGCTTCCAGTGATCCTCCTGTCTTGGCTTCTCTAAGTTCTGGGATTATAAACATGAGCCACCACATCCCACATATCTTTTTTTTTAAATTGAGATGGAGTTTTCCTTTTGTTGCCCAGGTTGGAGTGCAATGGCATGATCTCAGCTCACTACAACCTCTGCCTCCCTAATTCAAATGGTTCTCCTGCCTCAGCCTCTTCAGTAGCTGGGATTACAGGCATGTAACACCATGCCTGGCTAATTTTTTGTATTTTTAGTAGAGATGGGGTTTCACCATGTTGACCAGGCTGATCTCAAACTCTTGACCTCATAATCCACCCACCTCGGCCTCCCAAAGTGCTGGGATTATAGGCATGAGCTACCGCGCCCGGCCCCCACATATCTTTTTAATGGAAGTGGGGCAGCATACACAATTCAGTGCTCGTAACAGTAGCTATCTGTTGTCTTCTGTTATTCCCGTTTATATTTATATCTCTGTTGCTTTGTCTGTCCTTTCACACTGCTTCTTTCTTCACATCTCTTTCTTTTTTTGAGATGGAGTCACCTGTTGCCTAGGCTGGAGTGCAGTGGCGTGATCTTGGCTTACTGCAACCTCCACCTCCCAGGTTCAAGTGATTCTCCTGCTTCAGCCTCCCTAGTAGCTGGACTACAGGCACCCACCACTACACCCGGCTAATTTTTGTATTTTTAGTAAAGACAGAGTTTCATCATGTTGGCCAGCTGGTCTCGAACTCCTGATCTCAGGTGATCCACCTACATTGGCCTCCCAAAGTGCTGGGATTACAGGCGTGAGTCACCATGCCTGGCTGATATCTCCTCTTGCATGAATGTAACACAGACCCAAAATATCTTTTTATTTGCTATTTTGTGAAGTACAGTTTTATCTTAGGCTAAGAAGCCCGTTGTGTTATTTTCCTTTTGTTGCTGTGACAAATTAGCATAAACTTAGTGGCTTAAAACAGCACAAGTTCATTGCCCTACAGCTCTGGAGGCTGCAATTCCAAAATGACTCTGATAGGGGATAAAACTAAGATGTTAGCCAGCTGTGGTGTCCTGTCTCAAAAAAAAAAAAAAAAGGAGAAAAACTGATAATTCTGATTCCAAATAACTGAGTGACTTAGAGCAAGTTTTATTTAATCTCTGGGAGCTTCAGCTGCCTTATCTACAAAAGTGAATGGTAGAGATATGTTTTGTATTCTTCATAGATATTTTCACCTCATCCTCTCTCTCTCTCTCCATCTCCATCCATCCATCCATCCTTCCTTCTTTCCATCTATTACCTTCTTTTTTGAGACAGAGTTTTGCTCTTGTTGCTCAGGCTGTAGTGCAGTGGCGCAATCTCGGCTGAATGCAACCTGTGCCTTCCGGGTTCAAGTCTCAGCCTACCAAGTAGCTGGGATTACAGGCGTTCACCACCACACCTGGCTAATTTTTGTATTTTTAGTAGAGACTGGGTTTCACCATGTTGGCCAGGCTGGTCTTGAACTCCTGACTTCAGGTGATCCACCCACCTTGGCCACCCAGAGTGCTGAGGTTACAGGCGTGAACCACCGCGCCCAGCCCCATCCATCTATTATTGAGAGGTGCAGGTGAAGAAATTGTTTGGCAGGGAGCTGTATAGTGGAAGAGTTCAGATGTCGGAGAGGCCTGGCTTTGAATCATGATTCTGCTATTTTATCCTATGCGACCTTGGGGAAAGTTCCTGAACCTATCTGAGCCTCACTTTACTCGTCTGTCAAAGTGAAGACATTGGTAGTACCAGGAGAATTAAATGGAATGTTATATATATGAAGCACAGAGCCAGGACAGAGTAGCTGCTTTAAAAATGATAGCAATTAGCATTATGATTATTAAAAGCTATTGCAGAATACTTTTTTCACGTTCAGGGACTTGTTCTCAGGCAGAGCAATGTAATTTCCTTCCTACTATCCTAAACTTCTCTCCATCAGTTCCCTATTCCTCAGCACTTGTTCTGTTCCGGAAACTTGGCAGATAGTGTGTGCAGTTATTTTCAGAGGAATGAGTGGGTAAAATCGGCAGCATTTCCCCCGGAGTGTCTGTGCCCAGGGAGTATGAGTTTATGGCGCATCTGCTTTGTGTATAAAAGCCTTGTCCTCCCCCAGCATCACCCCGTTGCCTTGGAGGCAGAGCAAGCAGGGACCCGGCTACTGCCTGCACCCCTCATTCCCTGCCAGTCAGTGGAGTCTTTGCCGACCAGCTGCATAGTTGCCGGGGTGGTAAACAGCAGCAATGGCATTCCCTCCAGGTGCCTGGCTAGGCAGGGGAAAGCTGTCATTGCTGGAGGGCCAGCAGCTTTGGAACGACTTGGGAACAGAGATCCCTCACCAGTCTGCAGCCCAGCCTGAGATAATGATGAAAATGATGATGGCCAAGCGTGTTGGCTTATGCCTAAATCCCAGCACTTTGGGAGGTTGAGGCAGGAGGCCCACTTGAGCCCAAGATTTCAAGAACAGCCTGGGCAACATAGTGAGACCCCCATCTCTACACTAAAGAAATAAAATTAGCCAAGCGCAGTGGTGCACACCTCTGGTCCCAGCTACATGGGAGGCTGAGATGGGAGGATTGCTTGAGCCCAGGAGGTCAAAGCTACAGTAACCCATGATTGTGCCATTGCATTTCAGCCTGGGCAACAGAGTGAGACCCTGTGTCAAAAAATAAAATAAATAGGCTGGATATGGTGGCTCACCCCTGTAATCCCAGCACTTTGGGAGGCTGATGTGGGCGGATCGCCTGAGGTCAGCAGTTCGAGACCAGCCTGGCCAACATGGTGAAACCCTGTCTCTACTAAAAATACAAAAAAAATTAGCCAGGCATGGTGGTGGACACCTATAATCCCAGCTACTTGGGAGGCTGAGGCAGGAAAATCACATGAACCTGAGAGGCGGAGGTTGCAATAAGCCAAGATCGCACCATTGCATTCCAGCCTGAGTGACAAGAGTGAGACTCCGTCTCAAAATAAATAAATAAGAGATAATGACAATAATTATAGCTAATAGAATGATGGCATCTGCTCCTCTCACTGTCCTAGCTCAGAATGTCTGTATATGGTCCCCTTTACCCCCCTATATAGGGATGGGTGTCTTCCTCACTGCCCTACTTGGTGTCCAGAGGTTGCCTTGGATCTTATGGTTGTCTGGGGCGGGAGCGCGTTGTTGTCAAGGGAGGCTATGTGCTCTTGGAGCAGCTGTACGATGGTGGGAATGAAGACCTTGATCGTGGGGCAGAGCCTCTTCTTACCTCAATTGAGAAGGAGTGGTTGTCACCAGGAGAGCCTTTGGTGTGACCTGGGGCATGCCATGTGTTCCTGTCTGTACTCTCTTGACCTCTCACCTGGCATTTCCTGGGCATTAGTCTCATTTGTGATCTATGCTTGGCTCAGGGACTCTGGTGTTGAATTTCCTTTCTCTCCACTCCAGCCACTCCTTTCTAACCTAGCCCTTTCTCCCTCTACACCCCGGCCCTGCTAATGTCTTTTCTCTCATAGCAGCCTTTATGGCAGATCAAGAGGATCTTCACTGACCATTAACAACAAAGCTAACAGATTATTCACAATAGAAAGTTCTTTCGTCTTTTCTTTCCTTTTTTTTAGGGGGTTGGAGTAGAGTTCAATGGCATGGTTTTGACTCACCTCAACCTCCACCTCCCAGGTTCAAGCGATTCTCCTACCGAAGCCTCCCAATTAGCTGGGATTGCAGGAATGTGCCACCACACCTGGCTAATTTTTTGTATTTTTAGTAGAGATGGGTTTTCTCCATGTTGGTCAGGCTGGTCTCGAACTCCTGACCTCAGGTGATCTGCCCACCTTGGCCTCCCAAAGTGTGGGATTGCAGGCATGAGCCACCATGCCTGGCCAATTCTTTCCTCTTTTTGTAAGGGCAGGGAGGAATCTATCTTCAGAAAACACAGAACATCTAAACTCTACTTCCTGAACTCTAGAGCTAAATTTTTAACTGAAAAACAAAAACAATCAGGCCGAATCATTACTTTACCCTGTTTATTTATTTTTTATTATTATTTTCAATCAGGGTCTCATTCTGCTTCAGTGGTGTAAACATGACTCACTGCAGCCTCAACCTCCCAGTTTCAGGTGATCCTCCCACCTCAGCCTCCCGGGTGGCTGGGACTACAGGCATGCACCACGATATTTGGCTAATTTTTGGATTTTTTGTACAGACAGAGCCTCACTGTTTTCCCCAGGCTGTTCTCCAACTTCTGGGCTCAAGCAATCCTCCAGCCTCAGCCTCCCAAAATGCTGGGATTACAGGTGTGAGCTGCTAAGCCAGACTTAACCTGTGTTTGAATCTACTTGTTCATTTTGCAGGAGAAACAAACTGAAAGCTCAGAAAGGAAAGAAACTTCCTCAAGTTGGCATGTGGTTACTAAACAGCCACCTCAGAATCTGAACAGTGGCACCAATGCTGAAGCCTGTTGGTTTAGCCATTGGACTATCCCACCTCTTTTGTGATTTTGGGCAAATCCCCCCTCATAGCCTCAGTTTACCCTACTGTTCTATGAAGATAAACACTTCTCTTGCAGGGTGGCAGTTATAGTGATAGTTGTAGTAATAACGGATGATGGTGGTGGTCAGTGCTTACATATTCTTTTTTTTTTTTTTTTTGAGATAGAGTTTCCCTCTTGTTGCCAAGGCTGGATTGCAATGGCTTGATCTCGGCTCACCACAACCTCCACCTCCCAGGTTCAAGTAATTCTGCCTCAGCCTCTCGAGTAGCTGGAAGTATAGGCATGTACCACCACGCCTGGCTAATTTTGTATTTTTAGTAGGGACAGGGTCTCTCCATGTTGGTCAGGCTGGCCTTGAACTCCTGACCTCAAAGTGCTGTGATTACAGGTGAGGTATAAGCTACTGTGCCTGGCCAGTGCTTATGTATTCTTATTTGTCCCCTTTGAAACGTCCTTTATGTGTTGACAGACAGCCTCTGAATGGGTACACTGATGACAGGGATTGGGGAAGATGCATGGAATGCGGTTATAATGGTGCCTGACACATGGTGGGCTGTAAGTAGTGGGTCTTATTATTATTACTGTTATTAGTGGGGACATGAAGTGATTGATGCTGGTCTTGGGTCTGAGAGGCTTCACGAAAGCCCTGCCCCCATCAACAGCAGCTCCCATGTTTTGGAAACTTTTCTAGCATGTTCTTTCCACTTTGGCATTGCATTCTCTTGGCACCTTCCAAAAGATAGGCCTCCCCCAACAGTTAACAGGGAGAAATTATTTTTCTCTAAAAAATTCTCTTCAGGCCAGGCGTTATGGCTTGCACCTATAATCCCATCACTTTGGGAGGCCGAGGCGGGTGGATCACAAGGTCAGAAGTTCAAGACCAGCCTGGCCAACATGTTGAAACCCTGTCCCTACTAAAAATACAAAATTAGGCATGGTGGCACATGCCTGTAATTCCAGCTATTTGAGAGGCTGAGGCAGGAGAATTACTTGAATCTGGGAGGCGGAGGTTGTGGTGAGCTGAGATAGCGCCATTGCACTCCAGCCTGGGCAACGAGAGCGAAACTCTACCTCAAAAAAAAAAAAAAAAAAAAAGAATATGTAAGCACTGGCCACCACCATCATCCATTATTACTACAATTATCACTATGACTGCCACTGTGCAAGAGAATTGTTTATCTTCATAGAACAGTAGGGTAAACTGAGGCTCTGAGGGAGGATAGTCCATTGGCTAAACCAACAGGCCATGCCACTGCACTCCAGCCTGGGCAACAGAACAAGACTCCATCTCAAAATAGAAAATAATTCTGCCCTTCTTTTGGCTTTCCTTTCATGTTGGGTAACAGAGTCTCTGAGGGCAGGATGAATCTGGGTGGGTCCAGTGGATGACTGGTTTCTGCAGTGAAGGACCTGGGTGCTTCTCAATGGAGGAACCAGGGAGAACGGCTCCCCAGGGAGAGAGGAAACAGCCTGTGTGGCCCAGCCGCCTGCTCCAGGTCATGGTCATGACTCTGGCTCCTAGCAGTGAGGACCTGAGCAACACCTGCATTCCCCTGGGAGCTGCTGCAGCTTCCTGAAGCACCGGCTCCCTTCTGCAAGGAAGAAATCTGGCATTGCAAAGACAGCATCTCACTGGTTTCTGAGTGCCAGCTGGCGCCCTGGGACCAGCTATAAAACTGAGTTCTTGTTTCCTTAGGATCAGGTGGGAGGGAATCTGGGCCTCCCGCACCAAGACAATGGGAATAATAATAGTGATGTCGATGATGACAACAGTAACAGAAGCAGCTACCTTTTAGTGAGTGTCAGACAATCTGTCGGGGGCTTTGTGTTCATTGTCAGATTTTATCTGTAACAACCCGATGAGGTGGACATCATTCCCCCATTTTACAGATAGGGAGATAGAAGCTTAGAGAGCTTCAGGACTCTACGCCCAAGGTTACACAGTGATACAGTCTGGCTGGGTCCTCATCCAAATCTCACCTTGAATTGTAATAATCCCCACATGTCCAAGGTGGGGCCAGGTGGAGATAACTGAAACATGAGGGCAGTTTCCCCCATACTCTTCTCATGATAGTGAGTAAGTCTCACAAGAGGTTGATAAAACTGATGGTTTTATAAATGGGAGTTCCCTTGTACACGCTCTCTTGCCTGCTGCCATGCTCTTCCTTTGTCTTCCGCCATGATTGTGAGGCCTTTCAGCCATGGGGAAGTGTGAGTCCATCAAACCCCTTTCCTTTATAAATTACCCAGTCTCGTTATGTCTTTATTAGCAGCATAAGAACAGACTAATATACACAGCCACTGAGTGACCAAGCGAGGGTTCCAACCCCAGGTCTAACTGATGACAGAACCAGGGCTCTCACTGCTACAACCATGTGGCTTTAAAGGGTGTGTTGGTCCCAATATATGGTAGCCACTGAGAGCATGCCACCTGTGTTTGAATCAGGCCTTTGCCACTTTTCTGTTTTGGAGACAGGGTCTCGCTGTCATCCAGAGTCATCAGGGCTCACTGCAGCCTCCACCTCTCTGGCTCAAGCGAGGATCCCACCTCAGCCTATTGGGTAGCTGGGACTACTGTGTGTACCACCACACACAACTAATTTTTGTATTTTTTGTAGAAACAGGGTTTCGTCGTGTTGCTCAGGCTGGTCTCAAACTCCTGACCTCAAGCAATCTTCCCTCCTCAGCCTCCCAAAATGTTGCGATTACAGGGATAAGACTCCCCGCCTGGCCTTTCTCACACTTTCTTGCTGTGTGACCTTGGGGAGTTTGCGTACCTGAGCTTTAGTTTCCTCTTTGGGAAAGTGGGGCAATGGTGGCAATAAATAGTGCCTCATAACATCAGTATGGAGATTAAATGAGATAACACAATGCTCAATGCCTTGGAATGCAGCAGGGCTTCCCAGCCTTGACACTGACATTCTGGGTGAGATAATGCTTTATTGTGGGGGCTCTCCTGGGAAGTGTGGGATGTTTAGTAGCAATCTTGGCCTCTGGCTGCTAGATGACAGTAGCAGCCCACCCCCTTTCCCCAGTGCTATACACAAGCATGTGATCAATGTCCACAAGGTGTATGTGTGGGGGGATTGCCTCCCTTTAAGAATCAATGATACATAGTAAGTGCCTGATCCATGTTAGGCATTTTATGATGATTATTCTGACAGGACCTTAAGATGCCTCAAAGCTGATCTGTTGATGGAAGTACTTTCTGGAAATCTTTAACCGTGCTCAAAGCTAGGAGGGCAGCCTCTCAAGGAAATCTGGAATTGTTCCCTGGCTAGGAATATCAGAAGGGAAAACCATCCCAGACACAGAGCTATGCTTCCTCCTTGGTGATAATAAGCAGTTTGGTTCTCAGTTCCTTTAGCAGGGACCTCTTAAAAGTGGTCTTCTGCAGCACCATGACAAGTCATGGGTACTTTTTAAAAAGTATTTTGGGTTTCCTATCATTTTAGTAATCCAGGCAGCAATAACTGAGCACCTCTTGTATGCCAGATTTCACAATATAAGTATTAGTAGATACTGGGTGCGGTGGCTTGCACCTGTAATCTTAGCACTTTGAGAGGCTAAGGTGGGTGGATCACCTGAGGTTAGGAGTTTGAGACCAGCCTGGCTAACATCGTGAAATCCATCTCTCCTAAAAATAGAAAAATTAACTGGGGAAGGTGGTGCATGTCTGTAGTCCTAGCTTGGGAGGCTGAGGCAGGAGAATTGCTTGAACCTGGGAGGCAGAGATTGCAGTGAGCCAAGATCATGCCACTGCACTCCAACCCGGGGGACAGAGCAAGACTCTGTCTCAAAGGGGGAAAAAAAAACATCAATATGATCAATAGCTGACATTTAGCAGGCCCTTAAAGGGTGCGAGCTGTGTTCTAAGTTTCCTAGCCATGTCATTTCAATTTCTCAGTTCAGCCTCTGTGATAGTTTTACATGTCAACTTGACTGGATCAGGAGTGCCCAGATATGTGGTAGAACATTATTTCTGACTGTGTGAGTGTTTCCGGAAGAGATTAGCATTTGAATCAGTAGCCTGAGTGAAGAAGATCCGCCTTCCCCAGTGTGAGTGGGCAGCAACCGATCTGTTGAGAGCTCAAATAGAACCAAAGGTGGAGGAAGGAAGAATTTGCCCCGTCTCATTCCCATCTCCTCCTGCCCTCCGACTGGCGTTCACTCAGCATCTCTAGTTCTCAGGTCATCCAATTTGGGCTGAATTACAGTATTGACTTTCCTGAGCATCCAGCCTGCGGATAGCCAGGAGTGGGACTTATCAGCCTCTGAATCACATAAGCCAATTTCTTCTAGTGCATCTCCTTTTTTACTTTTTACTTTTTTTTTTTTTTTTTTTGAGACGGAGTCTTACTCTGCCACGCAGGCTAGAGTGCAGCAGCACAATCTCGAACCACTGCAACCTTCGTCTCTTGGATTCAAGCAATTCTCCTGCTCAGCCTCCTAAGTAGCTGGCAATACAGGTGCCTGCCACCGTGCCTGGCTAATTTTTGTATTTTTAGTAGAGATGGGGTTTTACCATGTTGGCCAGGCTGGTCTCAAACTCCTGACCTCAAGTGATCTGCCCACCTTGGCCTTCCAAAGTTCTGGGATTACAGGCATAAGCCACCTCACCTGGCCTCCATTTTTACATTTAACTTATGGTTCTGTTTCTCTGGAGAACCCTGATTAATACACTAGCAAAACATCCCAATTTTGTTTTTCTTTTTAGAGACAGGGTCTCAGTACATCACCCAGGCTGGAGTGCAGCGATGTGAACACAGCTCACTGCAACCTTTAACTTCTGGGCACAAGTAATCCTCCCACATCAGCCTCCTGGGTAGCTGGGACTAAAAGTGTGTACCACTATGTCTGGCAAATTTTTTAATTTTTGGTAGAGTCAGGGTCTCACTATGTTGCCCAGGCTGGTCTCAAACTCCCGGCCTTAAGTGATCCTCCCTCCTTGGCACTCCCAAAGTGCTGGGATTACTGGCGTGAGCCACTGCACTCTGGCCAAACATCCACATTATATTATCCCCATTTTACAAATGAGAAAAATAAGGTACAGAAAAGTTAAAGCACCTTACCTATGAGTACACAGCCAACAAGTGGAGAAACAGAAGTTCACACCCAGGTGGGTCTGGCTCCAGGGCCACTTTAATGATCTGAGTTAGACAAGATGTTCTGCCCTTAGGGAGCTCACAGCCTGGAAGGGAAGTGAGATAATAGTAGCAGAGGGGTGAGGATGAAAGTAACCCCAGGGTACTGTTGGACCCGAGAGTGGAGGAGAAGCATCTGGACAGTGTTGTCAGGGAAAGCCTCCTTCAGAGGGCAGGCTGGAAGTCAGCTTTAAAAGTGCAGGTGACAGGCAGGACAGTAGTATTCTGGCTGCAGGGACCAGATATCCAAAGGTCCCAAAGTTGGCTGGGTACAATGGCGCATGCCCATAATCTCAGCTACTAGGAAGGCGGAGGTGGGAGGATCACTTGAGCCCAGAGGTTCAAGGCTGCAGTGAGCTGTGTTCCTGCCACTGCACTCCAGCCTGGATGACAGAGCAAGATCTCATCAATTAAAAAAATAATAAACTCCCAAAGTCCAGAGCCATAGAACAACACAATATATGTGTGGTGAACCACAAATGACTGCAGCCAAGAGTGTGAGGCAAGAACTGAGAGATGAGAACCAAGAGGGGCTGCAGGACCAGATCACAAAGGCTGCTAAGCAGAGGAACTAGAACATCAAAGAAACCCATTATTTTGCAAAACATATCCAGGATGGATTAGGTTGGCAGGACCTGGTTCCAGTAGAAGAATAGCAGGTATGTGTTTATTAAGTTGAAAGAATGAAAAAAGTAAATGCCTTTAGAAATGTTGACCAAAAAACTCAGCATGGATGGAATTGTAGTGAGCTCCAGGAGATCTGTGCATGAGTGATCTGGCTTGCTGTGTTAGGATTGCTGGGTTGCACAGCTCTAGGGAGCACTGTCCAGTTTGGGTCAATGACACTCTCTGGAGCCATGCTGTCCTCTAGCACTTTCTGCAAAGGTAGACCTGTTCTGTTTGTGCTGTTCATTACAATAGCCACTGGACACACGTGGGAATTAAGTACTTGAAATGTAGCTAGTGTGACTGAGGAACATAATTTTAAAATTTTATTTTTAATTAATTAAAATTTAAATTTAAATAGCTGCCTGTGCCTAGAGGCTATCATTTGGACAGTACAGCCCTGGAGTCTCACGATACCCTGTCTGTGTGGCTGCGTGTTGTGGCATTGACCTATAAGATCCTTGGCAAATCACTTGCCTTCCAGAACACTGTTATTTTTCTTTGTGTCTTTGGGACTGCTAGAGTGAAACATGAAACAGAACAAATTAGCAGGCATCTCAGAGATAATTAATGGTTTGAATGATGTGAAAAAGACAAAACCAACCAACTAACAAACCAAACAATAAACAACTCAAATGACCAGTCAGTGAGAAAGTTGGCATGCAATTTATAGCCCTGCCAGCAGAATAAGAAAGAGGCTGGTCTTTGCAATGGAATAAAAAATTTTTCCTTGGAATAAAAAGATTATAGGCTAGGCGCAGTGGCTCATGCCTGTAATCCCAGCACTTTGGGAGGCTTCGGTGAGTGATCACCTGAGGTCAGGAGTTCAAGACCAGCCTGGCCAACATGTTGAAACCCCATCTGTACTAAAAATTACAAAAATTCACCAGGCGTGGTGGCGGGCACCTGTAATCCCAGCTACTTGGGTGGCTGAGACAGGGAGAATTGCCTGAACCCAGGAGGCGGAGGTTGCAGTGAGCCAAGATTATGCGACTGCATGCCAACCTGGGAGACAGAGTGAGACTCTCTCTCTCTCTCAAAAAAAAAAAAAAAAAAAAAAAAAAAAAAAAAAAAAAAAAAAAAGAAAGAAAGAAAAGAAAAAAGGAAAAAAAGTCTTGGCTGGGTGGTTTTGAAGATGGAGTTGCAGGAATCTATCTCTAACTGAATAAGGGACCTATGAAGTAACGATTTCCCACTCTCACTACATGCAAGCATCTTTCCCCTAGGATGGTGACCACTGGCAAATTGAATGAATGGCTCAGTTTTGCATTCTTCTTTGTATTCAAGATCTTTGACTGGTCCCCTGCAACTTCTGCCATTGGAGAGGCAGGATTGCCCCTTAAATTTGGGTTTGATCATGTGGTTCACTTTAGCCCATGGGACAGCAGCAGGTTTGATGTTACCAAAAGCTTGAAAAGCAATTGCATGATGGGGCTTGCTGTCTTGTGCCTCTCTCGTCACCATGAGAATAACTTGCATGGGCACGCACCTGCCCACCGGTCCCAGGGAGAGGATGGGAAGCAAGTGGAACAAGACACTATACCAACCAGCCCAACCCACCCTAGTGTCAGCCCAGTCAGAGATATACCAGTAAGAGCTCAGCCTAGGTCAGCCAACTCCAGTCAATTACAGACACATGAGCTTTTGCTTTCATCAACTGAGATTTTGTAGTTGTTATGTAGCAGAGGAACTGATACATGGCTGTTAATTTAATTTGAAATGTCATCATTCTCCTGGAGAATTGAAATTGCGGTATTTAATGATTTATATTACCATGTCTCTGCCCTTTCACACACTGGTTTCTCTTGATAACATTTACAAGTTAAATATTTCTTTTTGGGCTTTTAAGGGCATTACATTCTCATTTGAGATAGTAATATAGAGAAGAAAGAAAATTTAAAAATTATATATAGTATCAACCCCCCAGATATAATCACTGTTAACATTTTGTTGTATATTTTTTTGGATATAAACCAAGATAGCTATATACTTGTACATGCATATACATACACATACATATAAATGGAACCATATTACATAGAAAACTGCATTCTGCATTATTTTACTTAGTTCAACATTATATACATCAGCATTTCCCTATGTCCTTAAATTTCTCCAGGAACATGATTCTTAGCAGCTGCATATTGATATTCTATGGTATGGCTGTATCATATTTTATTTAAACATTTGCTACTTTTGGACATTTCAATTCTTTGCAATTTTTCACCATTACAAATGATGCTGCAGTGTTAATCTTTGTACATAAATCTCAGTGTGCTTCTGTGATTGTTCCCTTAGGCTGTGTTCCTAGAAGTGAAATTCCTTGGTGAAAGGGTTCAAACAATTTTAATAAGGTATTGCTAAAAAAAAAAAAAAAAAAAAAAGGCAATTTATAGCCCTGCCAGCAGAAGAAGAAAAAGGCTGGTCTTTGTAATTTACAAAGACACATTGGGGAGATTTTAAAGTGGACAGATTGGGACTGGAGCCTCTAAGTTTGTGGTTTACACAGGACCATCAACTTGTAGTCATGTGAACTTCATTAAGTGTGACATTGAGGGATGACCCTGAAACAAATCACAGGACCCCAGTGTTCTTCTTTTTCCCCTTGAGACCAAGTCTTGCTCTTTTGCCCAGGCTAGAGTAAAGTGGTATGATCTTGGCTCACTGCAACCTCTGCCTCCCGGGTTCAAACAATTTTCCTGCCTCATTCTCCTGAGTAGCTGGGATTACAGGTGTGAGCCACCACGCCTGGCTAATTTTTGTATTTTTAGTAGAAATGAAGTTTCACCATGTTGGCCAGACTGGTCTTGAACTCCTGACCTCAGATGATCTGCCTGCCTCGGCCTCCCAAAGTGTTGAGATTACAAACGTCAGCCACCATGCCCAGCCAACCCCACTGTTCTTGTCCTGCCCAGTCACTTCTAATTGTGTGATTTCCGTCTAAAGCCTGAGTAGTGCTATTTAGAGTAGGTAGACACAATCTGATTTTTAAAGTTCAGGGGTATGACCCAGGAGATCTCTTCTTTGTGGACAATTCCTGCTTCTGTTAAACATCCCAGTCACCTAAGAGCAAACTCTGGATCTATCCTTTTGTAACTTTGAGACTTTGCTAATCCACCTATTTTCTCTGAGCCCAGGGTTCCTTATCAGTAAAATGGGAGCAAAGCTATGATTTAAACTGCCAAATTATCTAGCAAACCCAGTCATTTCCAAAATGGTTTTTTTGACTCTTGCATATCCCAGATGGAATTTTTACAGGGCTGTGAAAAATGATGTAGGCTATTATGAATGGAGAGACATGTGTCTGTAAAGGCTTGTTCTGTACTATGACATAACATACTTTTGACTTTTCTTAAGAGTGAAACACCCTTTTAAACGGAAATGTGGAATTTTGCTTCTGATAATGGACAAGTGGGTGCCTACTGGGCTGATCTTGCGTCAGATAACAAATATAATCCCTGAAAAAAATTATTTAAAAAATCCAGCTACCTAAAGGATGGGTGGTTGTGGCTAAAACTCCAACAGAAAAACCTGCAGTCCCTCTGGGCTGAGGAGCCAGAGGATAGAGTTACAGACATCTGCTCTCATGGGAAAGTGACCTGGAGATGGCAAGGTTTAACTCTGTGTATAAATTCTGCCCCAATATCTGGCTGACTTCTGAAGTATCTATGCACCAGGCAAACCCTAAAAGAGCCCAGATAAAGCTAAAAGAGATGACCTGAGAAATAAGCTGCTGCCCCACTGGTAGAGTTTTCAGTTTGAATCCAACCAAGTTAATTGCCTCCAAACAAACATTAAAAAATCAACACTCTTTGGAGAAATGCCACAGAATCCAGAGTCTCTACAATGTAATATTCATAATATCTAGGATACAATCTAAAATCACTCAATGCAAACAAATGGAAAAACATGGCCCATTCTCTAGCAAAAAGACAATGAATAGGAACCAACTCCAAGGTAACCCAGATGTTGGACGATGGAATTAGCAGACAAGTTGTTTTTCTTTTCTTTTTTTTTTTTTTTGAGATGGAGTTTCACTCTCTCACCCAGGCTGGAGTGAAGTGGTGCGATTTCGCCTCACTGCAACTTCCTCCCCGCCACGTTCAAGCAATTCTCCTGCCTCAGCCTCCCAAGTGCTGGGATTATAGGCATGTGCCACCATACCTGGCTAATTTTTGTATTTTTAGTAGAGACAGGGTTTTGCCATGTTGGCCAGGGTGGTCTCAAACTCCTGACCCCAGGTGATCCACCTGCTTTGGCCTCCCAAAATGCTGGAATTACAGGTGTGAGCCACCACGTCTTGCCCAGACAAGAATTTTTAAAGCAGCTATTCTAATAATGCTCCATGATCTAAGGGAAACCTGCTCATAAGAAATGAAAA